ATTGATGAGGCTGTTCTGATTCTTCGTCATTTCGGAAGGGGATCAAGACTGTGGTTATCGAGGATACGTACCTGGTTGATGACGATACTCTCCATTTGCTGATGTAGACAGATTGACGTGCCACGTGGCACCTTGAGGAAGAACTTCAGACATTGTATTCAGTCTATTGATTGATGAGGTGGCGAGGAGGAGGAGRAACCCGAAGAAGWAGTGGGCTGTTGTCTTCTTCTCTCTCTTTGGTCTATTCTCCCTCTCTCCTCCTTYGTCTGTGTATGATTCTCACCTCATTCTATCATCACACACATTTGCGATTGTTTGTCATTCATCAGCAGATCGATAATCATATGGACTGGTAATGTGACGAGTATCATCACGTCTGGGCTCATTGCATATGGGACGCTGGGCCCGGTTCCCAGCACGTGCTGCTCCCCACGAATAGATTGGAGCCTTGTTCCCATTTAAAAAAATAAAAAATAAAAATAAAAAAAATGACAGGGGTCCCCTGTCTAAGCCTTAGGAGTAGTGGTAGGTAGGTAGTGAAGGTGAATTGAAAGAATTTGAAAGATGATGAAAGATTTGAGAGAAGAATATAGCGTAGTTTATAAAATATATATATAATATATCACAGCCCCTCGTTTGTTGTCCTCTTCTCTCTCTCTGCCTACGGTTTACCGGGCAGTTCTGTTTGTGATGATATATAAGTGAAAAATATAGAAAAATATAAAAAATCAAAATTATTTTTTATTTTAAATTTGGTAAAGAATTTCGATGTGACCCTGAGGCAAGAGTTGTTCAGTTTATTTTTCTGCATAAAATAGTTTTTTTTTTTTGTATTTATTTATTTTCCTTTTTTTATTTTTTATTTTTTTGCTGGGACCTTCCCTGATCCTTGCATGGCTGGGCCGCCCGGGAACACAGGGTGACCCAGGCGGCCCGGTGAGGGGAGGAGGGGGGGGAAGGGAACTGTGAAAAAGAACAGGTAATAAAATGGATTGTCGTGCTGATTGCAGGCCAACAAAGTTCCCAGATTTTCTGGAGAAAGAATACAAGGAGAGCTATGAGTCGGAGAAAATACTCGGTATTCTGTACCGCAAAGTGAAAGCCATGACTCCTCAGTGTTTGCCAGAAACCCTACGAGTGACCATAGCCAAGTTGCAGGATGCTTACGATGAAGACCTTGAGTATGGCGAGTTTCGTTTGTATCTTGGAGAGGCATGGGCGTGCAAGCGCGACTACAACATGCGCTTAGCTTCCCTCATGAATCAGTTCCAGATTACGAGTGAGGCGGAGATTGTAACCGGGTACATTCTACAGTTCTCTCCACACTACCAGAAGAAGTCAAAGGAGATTAAGGAACGAGTAAGGGACCGCTACATTGCCATCAGGAAGCAGGCAAGGAAATGGTTCGCACACGGGTATGCATTTGCAGCGGCAGATGATCAAAATGACAATCGCTCCGATTGGGTTGAGGAGAAAAGTCTAGATCCCCACGAAGACATGCAACGGGCATCTGCATGGTATCATGTAACCTATCATCCCATCTGGTTAGAAAGAGCGGTGCGTGAAGGGTACAAAGGAGACCCACTGTTGAGCTTTGCATGGGTGCCTTATAAAGAGCTTGCGATTATCAAGGGTATGTCTCGGGATACACCAAAGAAAGCTTCTACAGGCAAACCTTTTCAAAGTTTCATCAGGTGACTGATTTATTTGCTGCAAGCCTGCAACCAGATAACAAAGCGACAAGCAACACCTATTCCGACAGGTAACTTATTGAACAGGAAGTGAAGTGCTAAAATGTCAGACTGAGTCCTTCATGGAACAACAAGACCTGTTGGCTATGGCTTCATTTGATGCGGACTGCTCTCTCTCTCTCTCTCTCTCTCTCTCTCTCTCTCTCTCTCTCTCTCTCTCTCTCTCGTTTTGTGACATAGACGAACACAGATATATTGTGCAGAGCATCTGTGCCACCTCTCCCAGGTTCATACGGGAATTCTCCCTTGGTCCGCGTCCAGCAATTAACTTACCTGAATTGTTATAGCCTTGCATGTCGTCCTTGCCCTCTCGGATGTTCACGCGACAGTCAGTTATATCTGAAATTTTACGACAGGTCAATGCCACGGGCCGGGACACATGCAGGGGGCTTTGCCAGTGCATGCATCCTCGTTCATCTTTATCTTTACCTGCCAGTTACATGACCTTCCTCGCTGTGCAGATTGTCCATGTCCGGAGGTCCAGAGGTCCACTACAGTTTCCTTTTGCAAACAGCATTGAACAGGGTAACAATTCTGCTCCTCTATTCCTTTGTTCCTCTGTTCTTCTGTTGCTCTGCTCGTCTGCTTCCTCTGTTCCTGTGATACTCTTCCTCCACTCGTTTGATCGCAATGTTGTGCTGCGCAGGCCATGAACTCTGTGCCTATTCCGTGAAAGTAAAGCCTCGCGCATTGAGTTCGACGTTGCAAGTGTATCTATTTGTTTGCCCACTTCAGTCTCACCCTGCAAACAGCATTGAGGAACAAATGAATACACGAGCAGAATTGTTCTCTGGTTGAGTGCTGTTTGCAACATGAAACTGTAGTGGGCAAACGAGTAGAGAAAAGTACCACGCAAACAGAGGAGCAGAGGAGCAGAGAAGAGGAGCAGAGGAGAGGAGCAGAAGAGCAGAGGGGAAGAGGAACAGACCAACAAAGGTAGTTCTGCTCCCTTTTATGCCTTTGTTCGTCTGCCCCTCTGCTCTTCTGCTCCTCTCCTCTGCTCCTCTGCTCCTCTGCTCCTCTGCTCCTCTGCTCCTCTGTTTGTGTGGTACTTTTCTTTACTCGCTTGCCCACTACAGTTTCATGCTGCAAACAGCACTCAACCAGAGAACAATTCTGCTCGTGTATTCATTTGTTCCTCTGCCCCTCTGCCCCTCTTCTCCTCTGTTTCCTTTGTTCCTCCGCTCCTCTCCTCCTCTGGTCTTCTGGTACACTTCTCCACTCATTTGGCCACGCTGATATTTCAAATATCAGCTCGTGTTCCTGTTGGCTCTTATAGTATGAATGAATGAAGCTGTCACGTCTCTTCCCAGGGCTTTGTGAGCGAACTGCGCATGCAAAAGAAAAAGCACCCTATGAGACTCCTTATAGCATTGCAGTGGAAGGCTAGTGAAAAACGAAATTGGGTGGGCACAGTTTGGCACAAATCACAAGAATAAATTTTAGTGGCACAAAGCACAAGAATATTTTTTTATGGCACAAAGCACGGCACGATGTTTCTGTGGATACGTTGATATCTGCCTGCAGTGGGATGATAGCCAAGTGGTGAGGGGTATTACTGCGACTCTGCTCAAGCTGAGAATCAGTGACAATCAACTGTGCTGAAGTCATCGATAAGTAGTGCACAGCAGTGCTAGGGGCAAGCCCCCTGATCGACATGTTATGAGACACCCCAAGATCAGCTCACGCGATGACAAACAGTCCACAGACTTGTACTCGATCTGGAAGCATGTTGTTTCAGCAGAGAGAGAGAGAGAGAGAGAGAGAGAGAGAGAGAGAGAGAGAGAGAGAGAGAGAGAGAGAGAGAGAGAGAGAGAGAGAGAGTAGTGACACGTAGTGCCTCAATAGCTTCCTTTCGAAAATAATGAATCAAGCAAGGAAGTACCGGCGTCGCCTGACCGGTTTCGACCCCATCACCGGACTGAGGTCATCATCAGGGGGTAATGATGAAGCGCTGACATAGCAGCAGCAGCAGCAGTTAAGAGGACAATCTTTTTTTTCTTTCTTTCTTTCTTTTCTCTCACCTCACACATTTGAACTGACGTTCTGCCATGTCATAGAGAACTTAAAAAAACTTAGGATGAACAGTTTTAAAAGGAAGGGGGAGTAAATTAGCGGTGGGTTTTATTTATCGAGGGACGGGGAGGATAGAGGGAGATCAAATACGTTGCTATTAGCATTGTCGTTATGAAAGGCATTGGCTGGAATGGAAAAGGGAGAGAGAGGTGATGAGATCCATCAAAAAGAATGAGGTGAAATCGACAATAAAGAAAGAGGTTTTCTGATTTCCAAGTCGAAAATCTGTGCATAATATTTTACGGTTTTACCACTTATTTTTCTGCGCATAAAGAAAAAAACTTCAAAAAAGAGATTTCTGATTTCCAAGTCGAAAATCCGTGCCATATAGCTTCTAGCCGTCTAGTAGGAAACAATTTGTAAAGGCTGCGTTGGTTCTTCAAGACAGTGTGCATTTGGAAAAGGACGTCCATCAATTAAAAACAAGTGATGTCTGGTTAAGAAAAGCATGGTTGTGCCAGTTCCGGACATGAGACCCACTGGATATTTATTGGAATGTGGTCCATTCACTAGGTAGCATTCAGATCGCTACTGGTATGGCACAACTTTCCACTCTCGAGCTAGCTCTCCATGTCACAAAGTTGCGGCGATGAAGACACTGACTGTTTGTTATGATGCATGCTAACAAACAAACAAAAAAAAAATGTTGCCGGCTCAATCTTTTTTTTTTTTTTAACATACCCCCGCCAGTGTTAGTCTAGTGCACAACGTTGGCAAAGGTGTTGAACACCAGGCGCTCTCCGCCTGGGAGGTCTTTGGGGGGGGGACAAAAGCACACACACACACACACACACACACACACACAGAGAGAGAGAGAGAGAGAGAGAGAGAGAGAGAGAGAGAGAGAGAGAGA